CATGCCATCTTTGTATCCCATTATTCCCAAGGTTTTCCCTCTTTCATCCATTCTTTCCTCTGCAGTACTATTCAGTAGAACTTTCTGGGTAAGATTATGGAAATGCTGTAGAAATTTTTGAATTAAAAAAATATATGTTTACTGTAGAATAAGTTTATATTACATTTTTACATAAAGTATCTTTGGTTTGTTAAAATTTGATTTATGCAGGTTTTTCAGAAACATGTTCTTTATCGTGGTTTTTATCTATCTATATCTATATATATGTATATAAAAGCCTAAGTGACCATTATGACCAGTCAGCCAAACAACCGGTCGCTATGATGTGCACTGACCACCAGGGGCCAGAAGCTCAATGCAGGAGCTGCCCCCTGGTGGTCAGGGTGCTCCCAAAGCCAACCTCCCATGGCTGGCCAACCTCCCCCCTCCCTTCCCGGTTGGGCCAGGCTGAGGGACCCCACCAATGCATGAATTCATGCACCAGGCCTCTAGTATTCAGATAAAATAAATGCAATCTTAAATGGTAACAGATGACTTACAGAGTTACTTTAAGTTAATATGGTTTTAAACTAATATTATTGGGTGCCATCTGGTATTGTACAGATCAAAGCTAGTGTAGTTATGATTCTAGATTAGTGTCTTATTATTTCATATCTTAGCAGAGTTAATTGCAAAGTATAAGGAGGTAAATGCATTTCTTTAAAAACTTGTGGGTACCACACTTGTGTTTGTGTCCCAGAATTTGCCTTGACTTTGGAAAAATAATCAGTTTGAATCCTTTGGGGCTCGTAGATTCAACTCCCTGCAGCATGGATTCAGTAGAGATTACTCTGTAAATTTGGAGGAATTGTTTTGTCTTTTCGTTCTCATATTTCCCCCCATTTTTAGGTTTATGCAAATGGCATCCGAAACATTGATCTTCACTATATCATTCGTAAACTGGCAGCGCCTGTGATTTCTGTGCTCTTGCTGTCCCTGTGTGTACCTTATGTCATTGCATCTGGCGTTGTTCCTTTACTAGGTGAGTAATGCTGGCTGGGTAACTTGAGAGCACCTTTATTTTATTTTATTTTATTTTAAATATGTTTTTATTGATTTCAGAGAGGAAGGGAGAGGGAGAGAGAGTAGAAACATCAATGATGAGAGAGAATCATTGATCGGCTGCCTCCTGCATGCCCCCTACTGGGTATTGAGCCCGAGACCTGCGAATATGACCCCGACCAGAAATTGGAACGCTCGACCACTGAGCCACGTGGGCTCGGTGAGAGAGCACCTTTATTGACATTGTTACATTATTGTCACATGGTATCATAGGTTGGCTGGCCCCAAATGCTTTATTTGTAAATATAAACCCAGCTAAAACAATGATTTCAAGAAACCATTGTTCTTAATTTGACTACTCAGAGCAAGATTAAGAGGATCATAAAGCCTTTGGTACAGTTTTGTTTTTCGCTAGGCAGGTGAGAAAGTATTGACATTTACACTCTGCCCAAAATAGGCAGGAACAGATTTTCTTCAAGTTGTCTTCTAACTAGAAGTGCTGTGATCACAGACTTATAAAATTAAGGACATGTTGTAATTAATTTTAAAAAAGTTCTTTAGCATAAAAAGAAAACGCAAGAGGAGATGCTAATTTGTGACAATTCATCAACTAGGAATGATCAATTTTATACTGAAGAACCCCACAGGACCTTAAACCCAGCATATGCTCAAAATTATAAGCACAAAGTTTCCCTCTCTAAATCTTTTCTTATGAATTTACTCATACTGACTAGTGTCGTCATCCATCAAGTTGCATGAGTCAGAAACCTTGAAGGGCATTCATGTTACCTGAGGCTCTCTGCTCTCCATACTCAAATGGTCTTCAAGTCCCACTGACCCAGCATCTGAAACCCATTCTCTCCTTTCTGGCACTCTTACCCATGGCTCCTTGAGTTGCACATCATCTCTCACCTTAACAACAACAGCTTCCTGTCTAGTTTCCCTGCTTTGACAACTAATTCATTGTCTATACTGTGGCCACAGTGACTTTCAAAAGCATGAATCTCATTGTTTCTCTTTAATGAACTTCCTTTCTTTGGTCCCTCTGTGGCCTTTAGAACATAATCCAGCTCCCAGGCTTACTTCAAAGGCTCCTCCTGGTGCTCCAGTTTGACCTCACTTGTTGACTCACTTCATTTTATATGTGACCAGTCCCCTCTTCTTCGTGAAAGGACATATTTCTATTTCACTGCCATTCCATATACACTTAGAGTTCTCCTTTTTTGGTTTTACAGGTGTTACTGCGGAAATGCAAAACTTGGTCCACCGGCGGATTTATCCATTCTTACTGATGGTCGTGGTATTGATGGGGATCTTGTCATTCCAGGTCCGCCAGTTTAAGCGCCTTTATGAACATATTAAAAATGACAAGTAAGTCTAGACTTCCAGACATTTAGCCACTCATATTAAGATTTCTCACTTGTTAATGTGTGTGCCTAATGTGATGAATCAAAAAGGGAAAATTGCTCAGATTCTGGATGTATATTGAGGTAGAAATAATAGAATTTGGTAACAGATTGGATGAGGGTGTGAAATAGCATTATCAAAGACTGTTGTACTGAGCAACTGGTAATTTGGAGTTGTCATTTATGTAGATCAGTGATTTTCAACTGGTGTGCTGCAGGGATTTTTAAAACATATAATACCTGACTATTTATTCAGGGGCACTGACCTCTTTTTTCTTAGATTGTCAAATAAAAAAATGACAACAACCAACACAATAATAACTGTTTGGTATGAATGAATAAAAATTAAACCTATTATTCTGTCAAATCGGCACAAGTTATATATTTTTTTGGTGTGCCACAGAATTTTAGTAATTTATGTGTGCTATGAGATGAAAAAGGTTGAAAATTGCTGATGTACATGAAGAATGAAAAGACTGGGAGAAAATGGTTTGAGGAAGATTTTTTTAATATTCATTTCACAGAGTTTTCAGTTGCTTTGATTTGACAAGATACAAAAGAGTTTGAGAGAAAAAGAAATCTACGTTAAGAATTTGCAGTACCCGCCTAAGCCTTTCTTCCAATCAAGGACCATTAGGTTACTCTGACCACTGCTGAGAGAGGCTGCAAGGTTACTGCAAATGTGTCGAGCCCTTTGTTTCGAGAAAACTCTGTGACCTTACCTCACTGAGAGATTGAGAACAGCCGAGGTTAGCAGCCATTTGACCTTCCATGTCCTCACGGAGGGCTGAGTCTTGCTCTGCTTCAATGGTGTCTAGCAAAAAAAATGAGTTTATAGCTTTCCGTCCTGGTTTGCCTGGGAGAGTCCCAGTTTACACATGCTGCTTTCGTGTCATCATTAACAGAACCCTTGGTTTGGACAGCAAACTATATGCTCACCTTATTTTCTCTAAGGACTCCTAAGAGTATTATTTTTAAAATTTAGAGTGTTCAAGGCTTCTCCAAAGCCTTTATGACAGTAGAAAACACAAGTGCATTTTTAGGTGGTCAGAGTACAACGTCTTTCAAACATGAAAGAAGGGGGAGGAGGTTTCAGTGATGAGAGTCTGCCTTCTCACTTAACTTGTTTTCGCAAGGTCTTACTGGCACTCCTTGATCTGCCATCAATGCTTCCAAATGGTATGGTACTTGTACCCCACCCCTCTAGCTTCTTACCATTCAGTTTTGTCACTCACAGGCTTCCAGGGGTCAAGCTCGCAGTCATTCCCTCATGTTTAGTGAGGCACATCACTGCTGCTTTTTAGCAACCCCTGCCGATGTCATGGCATGCAGTGTTCTGGTGGAGGACCTCCAGCCTTGTCATTTTAATCACAGTTACTTCTGTCTCTGCCGTCCTGCGCTCTTGGCCATAACCTCCCTGTCAACATGTCATATGAGTTAGCAAAACTTCATATTCTGCCCTTGGACCATACCCCCCTACCTTCTGTCACTTGCATACACTCACTTCTCTATCATCTCCCATTTGATATCATTGAAATCATTGTCCTTTGATATCTCCTGTTCTCTAGAACTAGAGCTGTTCGGGTTCTACTAAAAAAGTTAGGGTTAGTCCTCTCTACCCAGCTTTCTGACTATTTTATTTCCAGTCCGTTTCTTCAGATCTGCCCACTAAGCTGCTTCATAAAATACGATCCATACAGATAAATCCCCTGCATGAGTTTCCTCAGCCTTACCCTCCTCGGGCCTCTGAGTGTATGAGTTCACGAGAAGCCCTAACCTACGGACTGGGGCATGTGCCCCGTTGTCCACACTGAGGACTCTGACCTGTGCCGCTCAGGTCTTTGCTCTAGGAAGACCTATGGGGAGTTCTTCCGCCCCTCGCTATAAGGTGCCTGCCTTTGTGCCTTTGGCAGGTGTTCATTCTAGACTTCCCTTCTACCTACCTAACCATGAAAGTAGGAGTGAAGTGATCTGATTTTGCATTTTTAGAAATGAATCACTGCTTTTTGGAAGTATGTTTCAATATGTAAGATCATATAAGAGAGTAACTACCCTGTTTTTACATCCTAGGTACCTTGTGGGCCAACGCCTTGTGAACTATGAACGGAAATCTGGCAAACAAGGCACATCTTCGCCACCTCCACAGTCGTCCCAAGAATAAAGTGGTTGTCTCAACTACCTTGACCTTCCCCTTGCCTTTACGTGTCCTTTTCTGTGGACTTCTCTCTTTGGAGATTTTCTCCAGTGATCTCTCAGCATTTTTTTTTTAAGTTAAATGTATTTGACTTGTGTTCTCAGCATTTGGAGAGAGCAGCAGGTTAAGTTGCTGCCTTCCTGCATCTTCTGACATCACTGCTGTCTGAGATCTGTACATGTGTAAATAGAAGTTCCTGGATACCCTAAAACCTTGGATTAAACAGAATGTGCATTGTACATCTTTAAACAAATGTATATTAATTTATTAAATCTAGTTGTCACTTTATTTTGGACCTGCTGTGATCTTGACAGGAAACGTGCCACAGAGCCACAGTGCAGAGGTGAGACTTACTAATGACGTCTCTGGAGCACAATGTCATGGTGTTCCTAGCAGTTTTTATGAAGTGAACTGTACATTCTGTCTGTCATGGCTGTTGAGACCTTACCAAGAACGTAAAAGGAAACAGAAATCAGCAGTGGAGTATCTGTGGTAAGAAAATATGAACTTTGTGCTTCACTGTCAATCGTTTTTGGAAGTTATTTTGTATAACACCAAAGCTGTTGTACATTTTCTACTGCCTGATTTTTTTTTTCATGTGTCTGTGTTTGTAATATTGTATAGTATCTTGTGCTAGTTGAAGAAATTATTTTTAATTTTGATAATTTAATATTCCTAGTGATTAGCATTGGGAGTTGGGTTTTTGTGCTTGTTAGGGGCATGCCTATACTTAGAGGGGGAAAAAGTCCAAAAGAAGATTTTCATTAGTCTCCTCATCCTCCTTTTCCCACACAGCTATCTTTTTTTCTGTTTTGGCAGCAGTAGCCAAAAGTCATGCAAGATCATAAGTCTTATAGTATATCATCACCAATGACACTGCATCTTACTGGAGTGGGGACAGACTGAGGTGTTCTTTAAATGTAGACATGGTTTGTGGTCTGAGATTGACAGCATTAGGAAAGACTGGTTAGAACATAGTCCTGCTGGTTAGTACATCATTGGGTGAGGATTAGGGAGTATATTTCTCCTAGTTTTCCATGAGTAAAAATCCCAAGGTTTCTAAAATTTTTTATTTACAGAATAAAACTACAAACAAAATCAAACTGATTTTATTTGTCCAGAAGGAACCTGGCTGAGTTGGCAGTTTAATAGAGGAGTTTAGAATGTATCTCATTGGAAATATGCTGTAAAATCTCAGAGAACTGAACACATAAACTTGGTTTTTTCCCTTATAGCCAAAGCTGCAAGTAGAAGTTTAGAGAAAGAAAAGTTAGGCACGTGATCCAAGTATTTAATGGTCATGGTTTAATGTAAGGGTAGTGTTTGTTTTTGAATGATAACCTAAAAGTTCTCAGAGAAAATGAACAGCATAGGTCTTCAGAAACCATACAAGAATTTCCATATAGTATTAAAGCCCATAACTCAAATCTGAAGATTTTTTAAATATGAAAGTCAGCCAAACATAAGCTACCAAAATAAAAAGCAAATGTTCTGGTTTTATAATTCAACAATTTTTCCCAAAGTGGTAAGCAATTACTTAACTCTACATTTTAAAACATCAGTATATATATTTAAAAAAGCTTGCCTTAGGATTCAGTGTTATACTTTTTAGCACTTTGCAGTAGGCCTTTCTCTTGTATTTAAAATAAGGTCTTTGTGATCCCTGCCTTCACTTAGAAATTTAGTTCTACTGTAAAAATGAGCATTTTAAAACATATTGCCACCTGTCATGGTATATGTCCATACAAATAGAGAAACTATCAAATTTGGCATATAACTTGATTATATTAATTTAGGTTTCTTTTGAAATTTTCAGAGACTTTGTAGATATTGACATAAAGTCATTGGAACATATTTACCTGTTTTACCAGGAAGATATAGGCAGATACCACAAAAGATTAAAAATTGTTATTCTACAACATTTTTAAATGAATCTTATCAGATACTTTATAAAATATATATATATGAATGGCCAAAAAGTTGCCCTCCATTTCACTTGCAATAACTTTATCTTATGTAATGATTTCCCCCAATTTTCCAGTTGTGCTTTGTCCTGTTTTCAAAAAGATGAATACTTTCCTAAGGAAAGCATCTGCTGATTACTATTTACATGGGTAGCATCAAGATTTTATTAGCCAGTTGTCTTAGAAATATTTAAAATAACTAGTTCAGAAATTGCTAGTATTGCTGCCCTTCTTCATGTAGAATTTATTTTTAATAATAGTGTAGTTTTACTTCATTTTACATTGGGTTTAAACAGTCTTTAAGGAAGTTAATTAGGACAGAAAACTTTTTTGCTTTGCTTTTTACTATTTATAAATTGAAGACAAATCAACATTTAGGGTTAGTTTTACATGACCGGTTACCAAATGGCCATTAGTATCAGGTGTGCAGTTGTTCATTATTAGCAAATTATGTTTGATTTTTAAACTTAATACTAAGTACTAAAAGTTGAGATGAAAACTGAAGAAATATGCCAATGTGAAGTTTGTATATGGCAAGCTTTAAAACTAAATGTTTTTAGGTGATGTTTTCCTGTTAGTTTTTTGGAGAAACAGTAGAGATTAGACATCTCAATTCCAGATGTAAACACAAGTAGTTTTTTTTTCAACATTTAATATAACTGTTATTACTATGGATTCTTGACTTGGTGTTTTTTTTTTCCTTTCCCTTATTCAAGTAATAGAAAGTAAATTTTTCTCAAATGATTTGATCTTAGATATGTAATATCTGTATTGGCAAAATGCTATCATTAAAGTCTAATTCTTGAATTTAGGATGAATTTATGACTTTTTAAAACAATGCAAAGCAGCACTGGACATTTCTACATTGTATTGTGTTTACACACACACACACACACACACACTCTATAGAACACTGGCACAAACATCACAAGTTAGCTTCTTATTCTCATGTTCAGGATTATTTTAAGCTTTTTATTTACTGTGATAAGTTTTTTACATTATAAAAATAAATGATTGTGTTTAAAATACTCCTTTAGAATGGTATCTAATGAGTCACAATTAAAAAAAGACAAAAGTGAAATGCCTTACCACTAAAGTATTATTAAAAGCCTCATTTGTGGAGATTTTCTGACTTGCTGGAGCTGTCTTGGATCTTCTTACTTAATTTGCTCCCTCAAGCAGATGTTTTCCCTTCACCCCATTTACTGCCCTATATCTTTTTTTAAACAGCCAGGATGAGCAAGGGCTACTTTCAGATAAAACCATTGATACAGCATGAAGATAGACAGTATATATCTTTTCATTTCTATCTGTCTATGAGTGCCTCATTTTTTAGTAATGGAAGTAATATAGTACCTTCAATGAATACGTAGTGACCATAAAGCCTGGGCATGACTACTATAGAAGCTAAGTAGAACACTGTTATTTGGGATACCAATTTTCTATTAAAGCAAACATCTTAGATACCCAGACCAATTTTATGTATATATTCTGAAATGTTCCCCTTTTTTATGTGGTCATTTGTTGTCTTCTGAGTTGAGAGAACAAGATTGAATAAAGTGAACGTTAGTTGTAGTCGAGTTTTTTTTTTTCCTTGTTGGTTTTTGCTTTATTGCAAGATTGCTTGAGAGTTACAGAAATGTGTATTATTAGCATAAGTTGATAATCCAGATACATTTAACATAATTATGAAAGTAAAATAATTCATGTGATGATAGCCCCCCTGTTCTAAGTATAAATTTAAAATGATAGTGGCAGAGGACACATCCCTCCTCTCCTCTCTCCCTCACTGTAATAGACTCTCTTCATTGGGAAGAGTAGAGGAAGGCCCTTATCTCTGCCACCCACCTCTTTGCCTCAACTATAAGGTCTGAACATCAGAGCGTCATCAGGTTGCCTATTTTAGGTAGCTACTTGGATAGAGTAAAGCCAATCAAACCCATTTTATGTAATTGACCATAAGTCTCAGAGAAAAAGGAAAGGATTCTATGAGGTTTTTTTCCTCCTAACTGTGCTATATGAAGAGATCTTTTTGTTTCTAATTTTTCTTTGTTTCTAGGTTGAGTTTTCCATGGTTTTTTTTCCTTTTTATTAAATTTATTGGAGTGACACTGGCTAACAAAATTCTACAGGTTTCAGGTGCACAATTCTATATAGCACATAATCTGTACACTATTGTGTGTTCACCCCAAGTCAAGTCTCCGTCCACCACCACTTACCCCCCCCCATGATTTTTTTAATCAAGTGCATTTTTATTTTAAATGTAGTGGTGTGGGTGAAGTGCAATTTGAACCATAGAGCATCTTTAATCTGTGAAATTGAATTTTTACAGCAAAGGAAATTGCATGGTGAATTTCAGAAGTGGCCATTAAACCCCCCCCCCCCCTCCCCAATCCTGTAGTTTGCAGCCCTTCTTGTTGCAAACATAGAACCAGTACCACAAGTGGATTAAGGATCTGAGAAAGTAACCTCCCCTCCTAGCCCCAGCCCCCACATACGCATGTATTTCTGGTGTCTGTTTTGTTTCCTTGCACTGTACTCAATACTATAGTTGAATGAGGCATGGGGTCTGCCTTTAGGAAGTCCCGTTAGAGTGGGAAAGAACAGAAAAATGAGCAAAAGATTCTATTAGAGATATGCATAAGATTGCCACAAGGAACAGATACAGGATCTACCTGGGCAGAGTCTGTGATGACCTAGGTATGTCCTTAGTTACTATTTGGTATATATAGGCACCCTTCCCCCACACCCTCACAATACCTGTCAACCTCCTGCAGTTTACTTCCACTCAGTCCCACACTTCACTAAAACCATCCGTATGTCAAGAGCCAGTAAACTGGGTGGAGGTCCCTTTTGGCACTTTACATTATCTAATCATCTTCCTGAAATTTTATTTTACACAGGTAACAGTGTTGTGTCTTTCTGCTGCTTGCTCGCTCAGTAGCTTCTGTAGGACAAAAAGTCTTATGCCAGGAAGCCCATTTATTTACTTCTTTGTTTTTTTGCCCAAATGGATGAACCCCTTCTGCTGGCTGCACGAATCCATTGGTCTGATGGAGCAGAATAGAGAGTCAGTCTAGAAATAAACCCATATGTGTATGGACAGATTTTTGTCAAAGGTACAAAAGTTGAACAAACAGTGCTGGAATAATTGGACATCCAGATGCAAAATTAAAAATTGATCTATATTTCAACGTATGTAAAAGTTAACTCAAATTATAGTCCTAAGTATAAAACTCCAAACTATAACTTCTAGAAGAAAGCAAAGGAAAAATGTTTAGCCTGTGGTTAATCACAGATTTGGATACAACCCCGAAAGCACAACCCATAGAAGAAAAATTTGATGACTTGGACTTGATCAAAATGGAAAACACCTGCCCCTTGAAGTATACTGTTTAGAGAACAAAAAGACAAGCCATGGAGTGGCAGAAAAAGTTTGCCAAACATTTCTGATAAAGTACATGCATTCAGCCCTAGCTGGTTTGGCTTAGTGGACAGAGTGTCGGCCTGTGTACTGAATGGTCCCAGGTTCGATTCTGGTCAAGGGCACATGCCTGGGTTTCGGGCTCGATCCCCAGTTGGGGGCGTGCAGGAGGCAGCTGATCAATGATTCTCATCATTGATGTTTCTCTCTCCCTCTCCTTCTCTGAAACCAATGAAAATATATTTTTTAAAAAGTTTAAATAAAATACATGCATTCAGATAAGTCTCAAAATGCTGTAGTAAGAAAACCTACTTGATTTAAAAATGGGCAAATATTTAAAAAGACTAAAGGTAGTATACAGATGGCAAACACATGCAAACCTGTTCAACATCATTAGTCATTTGGAAAATGCACATTAAAACCACAATGTGATCCCACCACATACCTATTAGAAAGGCTAAAATTAAAAATACTGATGGTATCATGGGTTGGTGAGGATGTAGAGAAACTGGGACTCCCATACTCTGCTGGAGGGAAAGTAAAATGGTGCAATTACTGGGGAAAAGAGTTGGGCATTTGTTAATAGATTAAAATATGTACTCACCACTCCTAATCATTTGCTGAGAAAAAAAATGTGTAAATCCATATGAAGAATTGCACATGATAGTGTTTATAGTACTTTTATTTGTAATAGCCCGAAGCTGGAAACAATCCATATGTCCATCAGCAAGTGAATGGGTAAATTATCAATACAATGAAAAGCAATTAACTATTGATATTCACAACATGTACAAATCTCAAAATATGCTAAGTGAAAGTAGACCAAAAATGTATGCTTTTGTTTATATAAAAGTCTAGAAAATCCAAAGAAACCTATCTATAGGAAGGCAGATCAGTGGGGGTGGCGAGGAGGGACTTGGATTTTAAAGGGGCATGAAGAAACCGGGGTGATGAATGTGTTCACTGTCTTGAAGGGGTTCTGGTCTGACATGTCTACATATGTCAAAATGTATCAAATTGCACACTTCGAATTTGTGCAATTTATTTCAAAAAGTAATACTATGTTAATATTGGCTCTCTAGTGGACCATTTCATACCTTTTTTTCCTAATAAGTGGGAAAAAGGTATTTTCTCCTATTTTCTCATTTTTGGCTGCTGACTTGTATTCTTATTTCACTGAAAAGATAGAATCAACCAGAACAGAACTTTTCACAAGTCCACACCCTCCCTGACCCATCACACCCTGTTTTTACTGCCCCAGCCTTTTTTTTCTAGAACAGGCCAAACCCCAGGGCCTTTGCACTTCCTGTTTGCCGTACTTTACTGTTCTTTGTCCAGGCTCTCCCCATCCTCATTTCTTTAGTGAGGCTTATCTAAAATTGCAGCTACTGGGGCATTCCTGTCTCTTCTGCTGTATTTTTTCTCTTTCATATTTATTAACCTATCAGGTTTACCTATCTTGTTGATATTTGTATGTTTTCTCTCACGTGGATGTAAGCTCCAGAGATTTTGAAAAATAACTATTTGGGGATTACTACTGTGTTCCACAACAGTCCTTGGGACATAGTTAGCATTCAGTATTGTTGAGGAAGTAAATAAGAATCAAAATAATGTATATATGGTTAAAATGAAACCTGAAAGCCCCGTGCCCTTCTCCAGAGGTAACCACATCAGTGTAGGCCAGACCCCACCATCACAGTGCAGGTGACATGCGCCCCAGCCTGCTCTACAGGGTGCTGCTTCCTTTCACTTTGTTTCACAAACACCTTTTTATGTCAGCCACCCCATTTAAAAATTCTGGCTGTATTGTATTCTATCCTGTGGGTAAGACTACGATTTAACTTTTCTGAACTAGTTACCCCATTTTATTATATGCTGTAGTAAACATTTTTGTCCATATTACCTTACATACTTAGGCTAGAATATCTGTAGGATAAATTTCTCAAAGTAAGATTGCTAAGTCATCAACATTTTAAAGTACCAAATTGCCCCCAAAACGTACTAATTAACACTCCTCTTTCATCAGTGTATGCGATTTCTTGATTTCCCATGTCATCAGCATTCGTGACTATTTTCAGTTTTTGCTAACGCTGTTCATTTGAAAACGTGTGTGTAGAGGAGTCAAGGTTGGGGCTTTGCATCTTCAGGGCGGGAAGGAGGACCTGTCCCTGACCCCACCTGGACATAGCTCATTCTAGTTCTCCATAGTCCTCTCTAGAGGTGAGCCTTCCTGTGTGGAGGGGGGTCTCAGGGCTCTTGCATTCAGCATGGGTGCTAGGGGCCGCTGCAGCCGCCAGCCAGGATACCCCTAAACCAGGGCTCACCCCTCGAATGCTGCCCTGGCCAGCACCCACCAGAATGGACGTTTCTTTTACTCGTCCACCCAAAGCTATTGTGCCAGAAGTGGCTTATTTTCTCTTACACTCAGATTGGCTCAACCACCCTAACTTAAGAAACCAGTTAAACTGAAGTAGATAAACTCTAAGTAGCTTTTAAACTGGGATCTGAAGAATGAGTTCACTAAGGGGAACCGCGTGGATGCACGAGGAAGTTGATGGAGACGGAGGCACGTGTGCCAGCACCGACTGATCAGCCTTAGCAACGTCGGAGGACCCCAGTCACCCCGGCCCTAAGCTTCTCGTGGCCAGAGCAAGAAGGGGTGGCGGCCTTTGTGAATTCGCCTTTCACAGTCGGCAGTGGGAAAGCGATCAAAAGCCCCTTTTCTAAGTGAAACGGTCAGCTCTCTCTAAACTAGGTTAGTGGTAAAGGTTAGGAGACCAGGGCGCCAAAGTCAGACTGCGCACGCGCATTGCCCTGGGGACAACCCACCCTCGGCTTGAGGCGTGTGCGCGTGCGCGGCGCTAGGGGGCGGGGTCCGTCCCGCGTGCGTGCGCGCGTGCCGGTTGCCTGGATACCGTTGCGAAACAATAGCACCGGTTAGCGCTTCTGAGCAGCTGTGCTTGGGCCGCTAGAGGGGACGTTGGTCCTCAATTTCCGAGGAAGCCGAAGACGAGCGGGTAAGAGCTCCCGCAGGCCGCCCGAACCCCCGGGAAAACCAGCTCTTGGCCCGATCCCAAATCCAGGACCCGGCCCAGACACGGCTGCCGGACCTCGGTCCCGCCCCCCGTCCCTGTCCCAAACCTGGGGGAGGGCGGGCGGCCCTAGGCTGACTCTCCGCCCTTACTTCCCCGCAGCACACCTAGTTCGTCCCAGGCTGGTCCTAGTCTTGGGAGAGTGATGCCGCTTCCCGACACCTTATTCTGCGCGCAGCAGATCCACATCCCACCGGAACTGCCGGACATCCTGAAGCAGTTCACCAAGGCAGCGATCCGCACCCAGCCAGCCGACGTGCTGCAGTGGGCCGCGGGGTAAGCGCCCGGGCGTGCTGGTGAATCCTCGGTCCTGGAGCGGTGGTCCAACGCCCAGGACACTCAGAGTGTCAGCAAGACTTCACTTTAGCATCAGTGGTATCTACACCTAAGTATCCATCGAGGAAGCACCGTGGTTTATTGACCATGGGACCAGAAGTTACTGCAAAACGCTCACTTGTTACAGAATAGCAACAACTCCATTGTTGGAGAGTGGTATTTTTTTTTAATTTTAATTTTTTTTTTTATGTATATATATATATATTTTTTAATATATTTTATTGATTTTTTACAGAGAGGAAGGGAGAGAGATAGAGAGTTAGAAACATCGATGAGAGAGAAACATCGATCAGCTGCTTCCTGCACATCTCCTACTGGGGATGTGCCCGCAACCCAGGTACGTGCCCTTGACCGGAATCGAACCCAGGACCTTTCAGTCTGCAGGCCGACGCTCTATCCACTGAGCCAAACCGGTTTCGGCTAATTTTAATTTTTTTATTAAGGTATTACATATGTGTCCTTATCCCACTATAATGAAGAGTGGTATTTAAGCAGATAGACCAAAACTTAGAAAGCAAGTGCATTGGGTATAAAGTTTCTGCATTGCATTATAAAACTATAACCACAGTCCCTTTATTTTATTTGCAAGGTGGTTTTTACAAGGAGAAATCGTATGGCTGTGTTCCTCCTCCTCAGGGAATCTCCCCAGGGTTAGGGACTGGCTGACCCAGAACCGCGGAAGTCATGTTGGGGTACTCAGCCCAAGGCTGGGAAGGCTAAACTCTGCCCAATGTGGTTCACAGCAAACGAGCCTTCACAGTTCCTTGTGGCAAACGTTCTATATCCAGGAACAGACATTCCTAATTTTAAAGTTACAAGTCAACAGACCTTAGAACCACTAAGAGAAACCCTTTTGATTTTACAGGAAAGCTCTTTGCCCTTTTCCAGTAAACAGGCATAGAAGCTTAATTTTATGACCACAAGAATCAGTATAATTTTTTCTAAAATGTTTTAGAAAATGGCATATCGAATTTTGCTGCCCTCTAACCTATGTAACCACTGAATTAGTTTCCTATGAACTGCTGTACAAAATCCCATAAAATTTGATGGATTTATACAACAGACATTTATTCTCTTACAGTTCTGGTGGCCAAAAGTCCAACATCAGTGTCGCCAGGCTGAAGTCAAGATGTTGGCAAGGCTTTGCTCTGTCTGGAGGTGCAAGGGGGAATCGATCTGTTTGCTTGGTTTTTCCAGCTTCTAGAGCTGCATTCCTTATATTCTTTAGCTCATGGCCCCTTCCTTCATCTTTAAAGCCGGAAGTATGACAGCTTCAGGTCTCCCTCTACCTCCCTAGTCTGAGGACACTTGTGATTGCATTTAGGACCCATCTAGATAATACAGAATAATTTCCCCATCTCAAAATCATAGGCAAAGTCCCTATTACCATGCAAAATATGACACACAGCTCCAGGATGAGGGCCTAGCTATCTTACGGAACCTCCCATATGAGGCTACTGACTACTTGCTAATTGGCAGTTTGCCTCTGACACTTTGGTCAATTGCTTCTGAAGTAACCTTTCAAGGTTCTTAAAAAAAAATACGGCCTCTGGTTTTAACCATTATTCAAGCCTAAATAAAAGATAGTAAAATAAAAAAAGATAGTCAGGACTTGTAAGATTTATTTGTGACTTAATCATTTTTATTTGGACCATTAAATTATATTTGTAACACTTTAGAGACAACTATTTTAAGCTTCACTTTAATTTAAAAGGCCAAGTTGAAAACTTTCTGAATGTTCTATGCAACTCATTTCAAGAACAATTTCGGAGTTTAGGAGAAAAATCAAGCATTATTCATTAAGCAGTGTGTGTGTGATGGACTCGGATGTGTTCTGGCTGTCCCAGAATACACTCTGTTAGGACGTTGTTCAGAAGAAGGTGACTTGGCCTTGGAGAGATTTCGTAGGCAAAGACTGGGGTTAGGACAAGGTGGAGGGTATTCAGGAGGAGGACACAGCATATGAACAAAGGGGCTGTGCTGGGAAGAAGAAAATGCAAAAACAGAGCAGAAAACCAGGGTCCATATGGAAGTAACTCTGCTGTGGCAGACGTAAGTTGACTTTCAGGTTAGCATTCTTTTCAAACGAGGTGTTCCAGTGGCAAAGGTGGGACAGCCTTGCCCCCCAGCCTGTGTACTCTGCTGTGATGTCACAGCTGGTCTGCTGTGATGTCACAGCTAATCGGCTGTGCCTTATGATGTCACCAAGCAGTTGTGCATCACTCAGTATGATGGAGAACAGAATTGGTTTAGTACTAGAAGGCTGCTTTTGCTCACAGGTGCCTCCAGGGAACTAGCAGAGTCTAACACAAGTTGGTCTTGCCACTTATGTGGGCTTCCCCAACCTCGGCTCATTTGACACTTTGGAGGGGACAACTTTTGGGTGGTGTATGACGAGGATGGGGTGTAGGATCCTTAGCCAAATCCTGGTCTGCACCCACTAGATGGCAGGAACACCATCTCCCTCCTGTGGTGACAACCAAAATTTCTCTGGAAATTGCCAGTGCCTTCTTGGGAAGGGGAAGGACCCACATTGCCCCTGTTGAGAACCACTGTTCTACAGGCTCTGTCAGGCTTGGGGATGGTTTGATAGGTTATGAAGAATAAAGTCCGTGAAGTGGAAACTGTAATTAGGAACAATATGGCAAATCTAAGCACCCACCCTCAGCCTGGCACTTTGCTCTTAAGGTCCACATTGGTCTAAGTGCTGCCTTCATCTTGACTCTCCCTCTAACTTTTAAACAAGATGTGTCTGGAGTTGTCTTAAAAGCATGAAAGCAAAGTTGAATTTGAAGGGTGAAGAAACGGGATGAGTTATAAAATTTGTTTTAGTCCATCAGATATCTTTCTACATTTTGTTACTTACTCAGAGTTGTTTCCAGTGACTCATATCTTTTAACTTACAACCTGTGGCGCTGGTGGATGGTCTAGAGCTCCTTTCCCTGGATGTGTTGTTTCTTTTCGCGGTGTTAGTTGTTAGAGCTGCATGTGACAGGGCTCAGCAGCTGCCCGCTCTGGCATGCTGGCCCCGAGGGGAGTGGGTTTTGCAGAAGAAACTGCCTGGTACCCCTCCCACCAGCCAGAGGCTGGATGTGTGCCCCCTCTTGACTTGTTGCCCCAAAACATTTCTGTGCCCCTATCTTCCCCCAACATAAGCAGCAATATCGGGAGCCCAGAAAGGAACAATTAAGGGGAAAAATACTAAAAAATACAACAAAAAACAAACAAAACCAGGCAGGAACTGTGAAGTATGAGGGAGGGTGGTCTCTGACATGGCAGGGTGGCACAGCCCGTCCTCAGTGGAGCCAACAGAACATCCCTGATCTGGGTGCCTGAGAGTTGAATAGGCAGAGAGGGATGCTCTCAACCCCCAGGAAAAACAGCAAGGCCCAGAAAAGGGAAGACCACACCTCAGCTGTTACAGTGGACACTGGACCGTGACCTTGCCCTTGGATACCGTGGCCTGCATCTTCCAGTGCCTCTGGCCACATTTCAGGGCCCCTCATGGTGTTTGCTGGATAAGAACAGCGCGTGTGGTGTCCGCTCAGTACTCCCTGGGGCCCTGAGACAGACCGTCCTTATCCCCACTTCACAGACAGAGACACGGAGGCAGCACAGAGGGTAAGGAGGAGAGCCGAGTGGAGGAACCGGGATAGACTGCCCTTCGGACTCAAGAGCTCTCCTCCTTGATCACTGTTGGGCTTCGGGCTCCTTTAAGAAAGCGCAGTCATTAGTATTAATTTGCCTTTTGTGTATTGATGAGTCTTCAGAGATATCTGTTGTTGTTGTTAGGTATTTCTCAGCGTTGTCAAGAGGAGATCCACTTCCTGTAAAGGACAGAATTGAAATGCCCGTGGCCACTCAGAAAACAGATACTGGCCTGACTCAAGGAATGCTCAAAGTGCTGCACAAGCAGGTATAAGGGCTATGCCACCAGTCGGCTTAACCCGCGAGAAAGCCGGTGCCCCTGAGGCCTGACACAAACCACCACCATCATCTCGCAAGTCGCTTCCCCTGCAATAAACCTTTGAATTTCATTCAAAAAGGAATTTGTTGTATTCAGTGCCTTTCTTTAATTGAAAGAACCCACAATAGCTATTCATGATTAGATTGTAGAAAAGTGAAATATAATTTCTTTTAAATATCAAATTAAGATGCTTAGGTGTTGCTGGACTAAAAAAAGGCTAAAGATATGAAAGCATGACATTTTAGACAGGGGGATGGCAAAGCCCTTTTGAAGGGTGTTGATGAAGCTGTGTGCATGCCGAAGTGCTCATCTGAAGGACGGTTGCCCTGGGAGGCTGGTTTCCAACCCGCCAGGCAGCCTGGGCCTGGCCCTGCCAGACAGCCCTCGGTGAGTCTTCTCCACCCACTGGCTCACTTTTAGAAAAACGAGTTAGCAGGAAGTACATCACCCAGCTTTGAGGCTCGGCATTCAGATGAGTGGGTCATATTACTAAAAATGATTTTGATTTTTAAAATATATTTTATTGATTTTTTACAGGAAGGAAGGGAGAGGGATAGAGAGTTAGAAACATCGATGAGAGAGAAACATCGATCAGCTGCCTCCTGCACACTCCCTACTGGGGATGTGCCCACAACCAAGGTACATGCCCTTGACCAGAATAGAACCTGGGACCCTTCAGTCCACAGGCCGACGCTCTATCCACTGAGCCAAACAGGTTAGGGTGATTTTGATTTTTAAAGTGACAGGTCCCCATTATACATGAAAAAAACACCAATTTTTTACTTTTCAGTTACAGTTGACATACACTATAATGTTAGTTTCAGGTATACGACATAGAGCCCTTTATACATTTTGAAGTACTGGGCTTCTGGACCGGATACACTGACTTTGAAAACAGATTTTCCATGGCTCTCTATTAAAAGGGAACACGAATAACCATGGAAAGAGGGTAGCTGGGGGAAGGACATGCTAGTGTTGCTGAAAGCCCTTCACACAGACTAGTACTAGCAGGTCGCAGAAGTTACCCATTCTCATTGCTTGTTTTGAAATAGAAGGAAGAAATTTAGTTTAAAGATTTCTCCCATGTAATTATTCACATGTTTATGGGGTGGGACTTTAAATGTTTTGATTGCCAGGGATTGCAGTCAGATAAGAGAGGACGCCATCCCCAGCACCAGCATGCCCTGCTTATTATGCAGCACTATGCCGCGTTTGCTTCACGGCCCTTATTTAAGAAGTAAATTGCTGTGAACATTGTTGCCAAGCTTAGTGTCCCCACTCCCTGCACGTTGCCCCTCCCACTGCACACATCCCCCTCCCTCCGCAGGGCTAATAGGGCCATGAAGTCAGGCCACCTGTCCCTGCATAGAGTACGCGGTGTATGTTCAAATGCTCACAGCATTAGAGGATTCTGTGGGGTTTTAAACTTATGTAAATTGTATTATATTGTGTTTTCTAAACAGTGTAGCCACAAGCAATACGTGGAATTAGTCGACCTTGAACAGAAATGGAGAAGTTTGTGCCTGCCAATGGAAAAATTCAGAGCTCTCATGCAATTGGATCCTTGTGAATACAGAATCGAGTGGATAAAATTTTTAGCACTTGGATGTAGCATGCTTGGTGGGGTACGTACCTAGAAATGGCATGTTGATAATTATGTGTAATCGTAGGCCTGGCTGGAAAATAACTTAGGGGTTTCAGTCACCGAAGGAAACACATTATTTTAGTAACTTTGTCTCAGAAAAGCAATATTTTTTCAGATACCTATTGTATTTTCAGGCTTATAGTTATTCTAATTTACAGAAATTAAATACTTGTGAATACCTCAAATTAAAAGATGTTAACAGTAGATAAAATATATGGATACCGTTAAAAATGTATTTAGGTTTTATTAAACCACATATCATTTGGTAAATGGATAATACCTGTTTTCCTAATCTGTGGAGAGAGGCACAGAATTATTTTATACTTTAGTTAAAATCTATTATTAGTAACTAACAGATACAGTACAGCTTTGCTGATGGTAAAATATAACCCAAGCGCTTAGGGGTGAAGACAGATGACCCTGCTGTTTCAGAGACCAGAGGGTTCCCTAGCCCAGGAGAGGGGTGCCATGGGGGGCGGAGCCAGCTCCCGTGTTTGAGTCACGCCTAGACGCCTGGGTCTAGTGAAGGGAGAGCTACCACTTTAAGCTCTTAGAGGAGGTTGAGAAGAGAGAACTCGCTTTACTTCAGGGATGAGCAAACTCCCGTCAGTCTTTGGACCCCAGAGTCCCTAACTGGGTAATTCATAGCCCTCACTTCACGGCACCCGCTTACCGTGAGTCCATGCGTGGGCCTCTTTGATTCAATTTTAATTTTTAACAAGGACTTTCTGTAATACTGCCCCACACGATCACGAACACTGGCAAAACCTTCCCGCCGGCAGCCAGGCTCTGTCGAAGCTCACGCTTCCCTTTAATCACATGCAGACCCTGGGAAATGCCTGATTTCACTGTAGTTGGTTTTATCTTTTTGAAGAGATAATTATGTTGTTGATGATCTTCTGGAACCTTTTTTCATTCCCAATTAGACCTCTACATTTATTCATCTGTATCATGACATAACACCTCTGTCGCAAAACCCCCGGGTGGGAACACACTGCAACTTGCTGCCTATTAAGGGCCCAGGGAGAACCTGCAAACCCAGGGAGCCCAGGGGCGGGGCTGGTGGCTGCCTGCAACTTGCGTTGTGTGACTGCCCCAAAGCTAATGGTGCCAGGGCTGGCCACTGGCTGACCACGTAGGAAAGACAGGTCAGTGTCACCAGGGAGGCATCTCAGTGGGGTGCCATAGGGAAGGACAAAGACGAGGTAGTTACTAGAGAAAACTTCATGCTGTGGTGTTCCCGTAGGTCTTAGTAATACAACATTAATAGAGAATATTTGAATTAATGTTTGAATTAATGTTCGTGCCTCTAAACTTAGGTGGAATTTATATCTTAATACTGATGAGAAAGCAGAATGTCTCATATTTTGGGCTCCATCTTTGTCATTTCTATCTCCCTAAGCCCCAGATGGAAAAGCACAGGGAATCTGTTTGGCGAGGCGGCCTGGTCCATGTGTAGTGTGTGACGCTGGAGGGCGCCGTTGTCCAGGAGCGCGTCCTGGGGAAGGTGATGCGGGTCCGGCTGTCCCCGCGACTTCCCTCTCCCGAGCCCCTTCCTGCGTGTGAAAGCCTCAGGGTGCGGCGAGGGGTGGGGGTGAGGGGGTGCGGTGAGGGGGTGCATAGCGAGTTCCCACAGCGTCATCGGCAGGGGCTGAGGCCCGAGCCGGTTCCGATGCGGACGTGAGCTTGGCCTTTGGGACGCCCCTGGACCCCACGTGGGCGGGGAGCTTGGAGCTGCGACTTCCCCAGACGATTCTTGGAGTAGTTTGGCATCCGAGCATTTATCTTTATGCTTAAAAAAGAGGAGGAAGTGAGAACGTGAAGGGAGACGAACGAGAAGTAATTCAGAACGGATTACCGCCTCGTTTCCACGGCGGGTTTGGGCAGAATTGGAATTCAGTCTCTGCTTCCCACGTGGGCCGGTTCCTGCGGCCGCGTCCCTGGCGGCTGCCCGGCTCCGGCTGACACAGTCTCCGCCCGCGTTTCTCTTAAAAGTCAGAGCGGAAGGTTTCCACAAAGACTAGAGCCGATCCCTCCCGATCCCTCCCTCCTCCCGATGTGTGTGGGGCACCGCCTGGTACTGGCCCTGCTCTGGGTGCTGAGCGGCAGCGCCCCTGCCCCCGGGAGCCCCCCGTCCCATCCCGGGAGCCGCCCTGCTCTCATCCCCCGAAGCCTGAGCTCTGCGTGTGTTGAAAGCTGCAGGGGAGGTGGGGTGGGGGGTGGGGTCAAGGCCTCTGGCTGCCCGGCTGTGGTAGTGGTTCCTGTCCCCTCCCCCAGGGCCGTGTGCTTACCTGGTGACATGATCGCCTGTGCATGTCGCGACCCGAGTCTTTATATTTCTGCAGCGCCCTCAGCGGCCTGTGACGCCATCATGGACTTTCTCAGTCCGTGTGTAGGGAATGGGGGACTTGGGTCACAACTTTCTGATGCTCAGAAAATGACCCCCATGCTTAAAAACAAAACAAAAAATTTGATCCACCACTTTAGTGCTGAGGATCATGGACAGTGTCCCCTGCCAGTGGTGGGGACGCGCCTGGCTCCTGTCCCCAGTGCCTCCCATCCAGGTTTCCCCGTAGGAGCCCTTCCCCCCAGCCAGCGACAAGATCCAGCCCAGAGGCTTAGCCACTGGCCCAGAGGGGCAGCTCTGGGTTCCTGGTTCACCTGCCCCCAGCACCACTTACCTCACTACGGGTCTGCGTGTCTCCCTGGGGTGGGGTGGGGGGGGGGGAAGAGGACAGGTGGGGAGCACTTTCCACTGCCACTGTCACCGTCGCACCCAGGCCACACACATGGTGGCTGCTGGGCATGGTGGCCTCTCCGACCCTTTCCTGGACAATGCCAAGGGCAGCATCAGTCCTCAACAGGTGGCTTCACTCTGGGACCCAGTCCCAGCTTCCCGGAGAATGTGGGCCTCCCACCCTCACCTGCCACAAGCCCCCAAACCGCATTTTAAATGAGAAGTGTACCGAGATGGGGGTTAGCACCTCTGGCTGACGTTAAACTGTCTGCCTCCTGAGCAGTCAGGCCTCCCAGGGAGCAAGAGCTGCTCTGTCCTGATTCCGTCTGAAGGGGTGGGTCAAGTCTGCCCTCACTTTTATCTCCATGCTCGCTGACAGGGCCACTTGGGGTGCATGGGAGGTGGTTCGGTGTGTCCTCACCATAGCAGCTAAGATTCTGAAATTGAAAACGTCCACAGAACTGGCACCTGGAAGACGCTCAGGAAATATAGGTGCCTCCACGTCTGTGTTTCTCACACATCTGCACTTGAATTTCAGATGACGGCTCGGGCTGGAGCACTTGGCTACACACAAAGTGAGGGTGTCAGTCCCCGTCCCCGGGAAGGCTTAGGTACCTGGAGGGAACCACAATGGCAGGTGGTTGGAGGGGGCGCCTGCCAACATGGTGAGCGGGAAGCCTGACTACCTCCCCTCTTCGGAGTTGAGAAACCTGTTTGTAAGGAAACGCTCAGTGCAAAACCCTGCAAGTTGCTTTATGAATCCTTTCCTGCAGATCTTACTGTCAGAAATGTTAACAGCAGTATTGTCATCACACCTGTGCAGAAGGCAGCGATGCTGGAGTGTTTTGATGTATTTTTTTCCTTAAGTACCTCCCGTCACAGAGACCTCATCTGCCTGCTCCCGCTGGGCTCCCGCACTTGGCGGCGGGACCTCCTTCCACTTGTGTCGGATATAAAGGGGAAGTCCAATGCAGCACCATGTCTTCGCAGAGTTCCAAGCAAGAAACACGTACTGCTAAACACACAGCTTCGGTTTCCCAGGTCCTCTCAGGAGGGCAGGGAAAAGTGACCCTTCCGATGCTGCATCGTGACGCCGCCCTTCACCAGCGCTCCAGCGCCCGCCAGTGTGGGAGCTCGCTTCCCAGCCCCGAGCCCCAGCTGCCAGCCCCCGGGAGCCCGGGAGCCCGCGAGCCCGCGTGCTCAGGCCTCCACCTCCAGCCCAGAGCCTGGAATCCCGGGTGTGTGGCAGGCGCGGTGGAATGTGCTGGTCAGCATGCCTGCAGCAGGTCCCAGCTGCTCACCTGGGGAAGATGACAGCCTCTGGGCCCCGCTGTCCTCATCTCACCCGTGAGGGCGAGGAGGAAAGGAGATGCCCATCAGGCTCTCAGACGGTGCGTTCTGCACAGGGAGCTCACTGCTGTCCCGCTGCCTCCCTCTCCCCCTGCCAGAAGCACTGGTGATTTTTCTCGTATGTTCACTGAGAGGACGGGGTCGAGCTCCTGGAGCCGTGGAGAAAGAAGCTGCCATGGGTGAGAGGGCCAGTATCCAGGCCCTGCAGGCGGCCGGCCAGAGGGAGGCCGTCAGTCTCACAGCAGCAAGGAGATGAGTCTGCCAGCAGCCTGTCGCCTGTCACGGAGGAGCAGCTAAGCTCTGCACTCCTGACCCACAGAAACTGCCAGATAATGTGGGTTGTTAAAAAAAACCACACCAAACCAACAAAAAAAACCCCTGGCTCTGCCCTCTTCATGCCCGGAGGACGTCAGAGTGCTAGCCCCACAGTGTCACTGTTGAGGTCAAACAGGCCCGTGGCTTCCCCTCCACCTGCAGCTCCCCCGGGACTGCCCCTGTTACGCCCTTTTCTCCTGAGGGCAGCCCAGGTTCTTCCCGCAGGAGCTTCCCTGGGAGGAAGGCCCTGATGGGCAGTGTTTGCCCCTGACTGTGGTGTAACTGCTCCCACCACGGCTGATTTCAGCCTACCAACACGATCAGCTGTCTCACAAGTTCCTGGGAGGGTAGCAGCCAGGTCAGGAGCCGCTCCATACCCCACTGCACGCAGGCCTTGGGCCCTGCGGCCTCCAAGGTGCTCTTGTGGAGTCACCAGGGGGCTGACAGTTTCTAGCACGAAAACAGCCCTAGTCTTTGACACAGGCGATGGCTCCCCCACCCTGAATGCATCTCCTCCTACCCTCATGGCTTGAAGGGGAGAGTGGGATGAGTCACAGCTCTGGCAGCTTAGTGGTGTGGGGGAAGGCTTCCCAGAAGATGGGCATTTGGGCTGAAAGTTGAGGATGTCGGCCAGGGTGGGGTAAGGGTGACTGATACAGGCAGAGGGAGGGAGCATGAGCGGGAGGAAGGCAGGTGCTTTGCAGAACTGAGACAAGGCCCAGAGCAAGGGCAGGCCCTGCACGGAGCCCAGGGGCAGGTGGGCATCAGCAGGACCCTGCCCGCCCCTCCACAGGTGGCACCTTTAGTTGGTAACAGTTTATTTTGTCCCTAGGTATGTCCAGGGGCCAGAAGGGCTGGAGGGTTCGGTGTTGGCTTAGGGGGTGTGTCTTTAAGGAGACTGATGCTTCCTCATCATCAAAAGTCATTCGAATTTTAATATAAAATCTGTGGATTAAAACTTTTTTTCAGACCAATTGCATCCTGATGAGACCTTTCCTTTTTATTTCTTTATGTCACATATACATTCACCTAGTTCTTAATTTAGATACGAACATAGTGTACTTTCAGGAGAATTTCTGTAAAATGTGATTGTCTATTCCAGTTTTAGCAAATGCAGTAATTGTCCCCCCCCCCCCCCCGCCCCCCCGTGCCATTCCTAGTCCTTGAACACCGCGATGAAGAACCTGTGCGAGATCCTGACCCAGGACCCGGAGGGGGGGCCTGCGCGCATCCCCTTCAAGACTTTCTCCTACGTCTACCGCTACCTGTCCAGCCTGGACTCGGATATTGCTACTTCGGAAACGGAAGCCTATCTCGCCTCGCTGAAGGACAGCATGTGAGTACGAGCAGTCCCTGGCCCTGGGCATAGGGATCATTAGAGATCTTCCTCCCGTCACCGCTTATCTCGGATTCCTGGTCCCCGCTTACCCTGCGGTGACGGTGACGGAGAGGCCTCTCCAGGGCCTGCTGAGGAGGCGGCGGCAGGAGGCTGCTGGCTTCCGTGGGACTCGGGGCGGGGCGGGGTTCAGTTCTCAGACTTCAGAGGAGAAAATGTATCCCGTCTCTACAAAAAGTTTATCCACACTAACCTTGATTCTGAAGGACAGTATGTTGAGTGGTTTAAAATCATAGCATGTTGAACAGTAAGAAAGAATTCACTCTCAACAGTGAGACGCAGAAGCGGGGCTACTGCAGGTGGAGGTGTGACCGGGCTATGGACACAGCTTCATCCCCGGCTCCTTGCACATCTCTCGGGCGACTGTGTGCCCCATACTGTGCAGAGGACAAGCAGCCAGGGGGCAGGTGGGGTGGTGGCAGCCCCCCCAGGGGCTGTGGCCCCACAGAGGGGGCTCCCTGAGGGTGGTAACAATGCCCCTCATGAACTTAGCCCCAGGAAGCCTGGCAATTCCAGGGGAAGGGGCTCTAGGTGAGGCAGGATGGAGCCCGGCTCCCACAAGGTTCAGGAGAGAGAGAGAGAGAGAGAGAGAGAGAGAGAGAGAGAGAGAGAGACTGATCCAAGGCCTTCCAGCACCTCCTGGCCCCCCCCCCAAGTGCCTGTGAGGGTGCCCCCAAGCCTCACACTGCCATCTGGCGCTTGCCCAGCACATGTTCACGAGGTGCCTACTCTGCCAGGGATGCAGTTTATGGACCAGAAGTTGCAGTCCTGGGTGCTCCACACTCACAGATACCGGACAGCGGGCAGGCTTGAGGGCAATGGGGACGAAAGAGCCGGGGGATGGGGGCTGACTAGGAGGATACATCCTCCAGCACTGAGAAGCCCTACCCGGCAGCCCCTCATCACTGCCTAGACGCTCCTCCCTCCCACCTTCCCAAACCTTCCACAGCTGGGACACCAGTGTGGGCCCAACTACCTCACTTCCTGCTGACAGACCCTGGCTGCCCCCACAGCGCTCACTCCTGTCCCTTTCAAGCCGTTTTCTCTGCTCCCTTTTCAAAACCGCATCCCCTCTGAGGCCCCTGCCACCTGTCTCTGCCTCCAGACTCCACAGTCCACTGTCTTTCCTCTAGTCCAGTGGTTCTCAACCTTCCTAATGCCTCGACCCTTTAATCCTCATGTTGTGGTGACCCCCAACCATAAAATTATTTTCGTTGCTACTTCATAACTGTAATTTTGCTACTGTTATGAATCGTAATGTATATATCTGATATGCAGGATGTATTTTCATTGTTACAAATTGAACGTAATTAAAGCATAGTGATTAATCACAAAAACAATATGTAATTATATATGTGTTTTCCGATGGTCTTAGGCGACCCCTGTGAAAGGGCCATTTGACCCCCAAAGGGGTCGCGACCCACAGGTTGAGAACCACTGCTCTAGTCTGTCACCCACCATCTTTGTGGCCCTCCCTGTGGCTCCCCGGTTACTCTGTCCCTCTCCACAGCACTCCCCACACTGCCAGGCCCTTGGTGGCCCCACACTACCCTTTTTAAATAGAAGGGGACCTTTGTTAACTAGTGACTAAAATTTGTGTTGTCAATTAAAGAAAATTCATTAAATATAGTACTGTTTTTTTTTACCTAGAAATAAATGCCCATTTTTATACAAAAAAATAGAATGCTTTAATTTTCCAGGTAGAAATTGCTGATTATTGACCATAAGTAATTAATTTTTAAGGTAAAATTGTTAGATTATATTGTATTTAAATTACCTTTTAATTAAATTATACTAAATCATTGTTTTATAAAATTTATATTGTGTGTTGTGAGAAATTACTAATATGTGTGTTTCTCTGTTTCCATTTTAGAGACAATAGAAAGAATGGCATGATAGGACTTATGGATTTCTTCGTCATAACGAGGAAAATGTAAAAAATCTCAAATAGAAAACTCAGAAGACATGCCATTAATACAGAGAAAAACACATTTTAATGTCGAAAGAGTGTGTTTTAAAACCTTGGCACCAATTACAACTTGTCATTAACCACATGCAGACCTTGCGTGAGTTTTTCTGGTGATGGAAGTTGAGTGTGACCAGTGAGTCCGGGAGGGGGGCCTATTTAATGATTGCTGTTCACTGTGTCCTTGTAAGAACCTTCAAGGTGAATCACTCCTAGTAGTAAAATGATCTGTTTGACTGAAACAATCTGTTCGGAAGCTGCGGAGCGGGGAGGAGGATGGGCAGCTTAAACCCGGCCATCCTGGTTTTCCGTGGGAAACTCTTTATGCCCTGGCAGCTGCGCCCAAGACAGGCCAGGGGAGCACCCTGGCCAAAGCTGGGTCTTCTCTGGGAGAGGCAGGCCTGGGAGCTTGCGCTCACTGAAGGGCATCTACGGCCTCGAAGCAAACTGGACAAGCAGTGTGGACCCGCACTCGGTCCACTGAACAGGACTACTGTGCAAGGAAATAACACCCGGGCAGTTTTCCCGAGAGCTGGGGGATGGTTTGGCTCCTTGGTTCTGTGCCACTGGCCGCCTTGCTAATCAATGTTAGCACAGTGAAAACCCAGAGTTAGGAGGAAGGTTTTGCTGTTATCTAAAAGTGTGTAGTTTTTTTTTTTTTTTTGCACTTAGGTGTGTAAAGTATATTTTTCATCTGGACACTAAACTCCCTTATTTGAGATGATCATTTGCCTGGACTTTTGGTCACCATCCCAGTAAATAGACAACATATAGAGATTACTGAGAAATTTACAAGTAACTTTTGGAGTTTCTAAAAGCTTTTACAATTTTTAAGTTGCTTTAAACCTTCTAAAATCTTGACTGCCCCCCCCCCAAATTAAAATATCTCCCCCAGCTGTAATGCCTCAATACATGGGGCTCAGAAAAAAAGAAACCTTAGGTTTTCGTAAGCGCAGTTGTAAGTCACGGCGTGAATAAACATGTGGAGGGGAGCAGGCTGCAGGAAAGGCTGTGCGATAGAACCCAGAATGGTGTTGTGCTTGAGACAGAAAGTTGGCCACCCCAGGAGCGCACACAGGACGTTTGCATTTTATGAAGATGCTCTGGCCTATCAGGAGACAGAAAAGGAGAGTTTAATAGAATTAACAGCTTCCCCTCAGGTGGGACAGTGAGGGAACCGAGGACTCAGGAGAGCCTCCCGACCCCCAGGCTGGCCCTGGACTGCACAGTCAGAGAGTCCTGGAGCCCTCGAGGTCTGCGGGGCTCCCCAGGTGAACCAAAAGGGAAGCCGGAAGCCGAAAGGGACGTGTGCTGTGCCTCTCCCCCTCCCCCCGCCTTCTTGCGTGTCCCTCCAGGGCTAGATGAACATGGACCTAGCTGGCGAGGAGCTGTGAGTATAGAGGCCACAGAGGAGCTTGTTTGAACATGCAAGTCCTCAGGGAACCCTTCCTTCGTGGGGAGTCTGCTGGAGGAAGAGAGCCAGGCAACCAGAAAGGCTGGAGAGGGCACCATGAGACCGTGGGAGCAGGGAGTATTGCTTACCTGTGCAGCTAAGACCAGGTGAGGAATCTAAGGAAGGGATATGCTATCGTAAATAATGGATGTATGCGCTGACTGTATAGGTACATATCATCTGTCAGAAATTTGGAGGCTAGAAAGTCTATATGAATGTTAAAATGATGTTCACATCAGATGTAGGGGAAATTTCATTACTGATCATAGTAGAGAACCAGCATTCAGTAACCAAAAAAGAAAAGACTAAGGATATTATGTAAAAGTACATGTGGTAATCGTTACAGCAAGAATACAAACCTTCCTAAATACCTAAATGTAAGCAGGGAGGTAGAACAGCAGAGGCTAACCCATGAAATAATGTTATCGTCTAGGAGGAGGGAGGCATGGGACGAAAGAGGCAGAGCTTGATGCTGGCCTTCTCTGAACCTACCTTTGTACTGATTTGATTTTGGAATCCTGTAAATATTATACATAATTATAAAACATAATCACACTTAAGAGAAAGCACTGAAAATTGGCAGTAAAACGAAACCAGTGAACTTAACTGTGTATCCAGTTGGTGGCGTCACCACAGAAACTATTCCAAGTGACTTTAAAGCACAGAAATTTGAATATTCTTAGTGAATTCAAGAAGAATGTTACCAAAAAGTTCTTTTAGTAATCAGTGTTGGTACTAGAATACATGAGTAACAATTTTGGTGTCATTACCCTGGATTTTGGCATGGAAGAATGAAGAGACAAAGTAAATTAGATAAGGTTAAGTCAAAATCCTGTGGTCCTGACTTATAACTGAGTGTCTGTATGAAATCATCATCTCTGTCCACTGAAAAGGGCCAGGAACAGCCACCCATCCACCATGTGGGGCCACATCTACTGGCCAGACTGTGGGCCCTAACTACCCTTCTCCAGGGAGAGGAGCCAGGACTCCTTGATGCAGGACTGACTTAGGGTCTCGGGAAGGGAACGTAGCAGATGAGGCCAGAACATTGTGTCACACTGCAGTCAAGGTCCATGTCAGGAAGACTTGGGGGTCAAGTTGAATGAACTTCTACTGGTCATGGGAAGTTCGGCTTTCAATTGGGTTGCTACCTGCCTTTGGGGAGCTCACGCAAATGCTTTAATAACTACACACTTTATTGTATCATTAACGAATCCATGCGCTGGATAAATAAACCATTCAAGTGACTGGAGAGTTTGAACAAAGGAGCTGGAGAGGGAGACCAGCAGAAACGCCTTGGCTGCAGGGAGACTGGGGTGGGGTCCACAGGGCCTGATGGGACTGCAAGGGGCTGGGGAATGAGGGACCAGGCTCTGTACACACGCTGCATGTGAGAGGGGGCAGGTGGCCCCCAGGGATTCAGCACCTCGAGAGACAAGATTTTTCTAATTAAAGTGACTTAAAAAAAATAGACTTTGACAATGATGGAAACTGAGCATTAAAAAAAAAAAAAATCCCTGGCATTTGTGAGGTGTGGGCTTGGGAAATATCTGCTTTCCCTTGATTCAGAGGAGTGAGTTGGGGCGGGGGGGGGGGGGGAGACTGGAAAAACCATAAAATGCCAGTCAGCCGATGGGACTTTGGCCTTAGGACTTCAGGAATCCTCTGGCCCATTGAAGTGCATGTCCTTGTCCTTGTCCCTGGAGCACAACCAGGGAAATATTTGTTTTTTCATCCAACTCTTATTTGTCAGCTTCTGTATTTTCCCCCTTTAAAGACAGGGGCTTTTGTTTTGTTTTGCTTGGTGTTCATGATCTGTAGGAAAAGAAAAGGGGGAAGTAGAGGTGACTCTGGAAACGTGACCGCCTGGCATGATGGGGTTCTCGGGGCTGGGCAGGGCCAATGATTTTGTCCATAAAATGGTTTAGCTATAAGTCGTTCTTTTCATTTGCACTTAGCTGTTACTTCTTGGCAATCACTGGCATACCTGTGAATTCCTGTAATGTGAGAAGATCGAGCTTTACAAATGGTTTACAAATGTAGTGGGATTTTTATGTCTAGTCAATTTGACTACTAATGAAGAATGAATATATAAATTAATCCTTGGGTTTGATTTCGCTGTTTCCTAATTTGCAGCCTATGATGTTTTTTCAACCCTTATACATTTCATAGGTCCTTGAAACACTGGGTAGGCCTCAGGCTCTGAGCCTTAGCATTTAAAAAAATGAAAGGCATGCAGGCTCTCCCTAAGGAAAATCCCAACTCCACTGTGTTGCTTTGCAGAATTCATTTTCCTTGGTTTTCGAAGTGGACTCTCACCAGAGGCCCAGGAGGTGGCCGCAGAAGTAGAATTAATCCGCTTGTCTAGGGGACTGACCCAGGACTGAGAGGCCAAGAGCAGCATCCTGGCCCCGTGCTGCCCCAGAGCTCGGGCCGCCCACCTGACTGGCTCTCCGTGAGGTCAGAAGACCCAACCGGGGAAGTAGACTGAGTGGGTGTTGATGCGTTAATGTGCAGCCTTCCCTGGAATGGTTGGGTTTTTCCAGAAGCCTTGTGGTCACTTGGTATGTGACCCCACCAAGATGGAGCAGGGGTCCCCTACTTCC